GGTGTGTGTGAGTGTGTGTGTGGGTGAGTGTGTGTGTGTGTGTGTGTGTGTGTGTGTGTGTGAGTGTGTGTGAGTGAGTGCGTGCGTGCGTGAGTGCGTGTGAGTGCGTGCGTGCGTGCGTGCGTGCGTGCGAGTGTGAGTGTGTGAGTGAGTGAGTGTGTGTCAGTGTGTGTGTGTGTGTGTGTGTGTGTGTGTGTGTGTGTGTGTGTGTGTGTGTGTGTGTGTGTGTGTGTGTGTGTTCCTGAATGAATACTTCAGTCACTGGGTTCTGTAACCGTTTCTCTCCAAACATGTTCACTAGATGAGGATGTGAGGCTGTTTCTGTCTCAATCGCTGTTGTATTAAACGATGATAAACTACACGTCTGTAGTCACTGATCACCTTGATGAGGTCAGAGGTCATCTGGTCAGCACACCGATTCCAGGAATAAGAGCTGAACCATTACTTAAGCACTCTGTGTGTTTATTGTTTGCTTTAGCCACACACATTCACACACACACACACACACACACACAATGTCGATGATTGTGTTTGTGGAAAACCATCTCTATTTACAAACCAATATTCTGTTTCTGTGTTAACGAGGCCTGATGTAATGAATAAGAGCTGGTCAGTTATAGTGTTGATTTAAATTTCAGTAACGACTGGAAGGTACTTTTGACAACACTAGTCGGTTAGGTGTCATTAGTGAAATATCAGACATGTGATTGGCCAGTCAACAGAACAAATCCATCATTAAGACGGATTAATCCATAATAACGCTTCCTCCAGTAAAAAAAAAAGTGGTCTGGTCTGAATCAGGAGAGAAATCTGCACAGATCAAGCACCGTCAAAACAGCTCTAAACAAATATGTGTCTGGATTCTGATGTGAGAGACAACTGGAGATGCGCTTTTTCACTGGAGGAAGAGTTATTATAGATTATGGACTAAGTCAGAAAAAGCCAGAAGTTTGATGTCGATGTCGATGTCATTCCTGTACTTTAGATGCCATTAAAAACTGTCTTGGTTGAGCTCTAGCGTTGAGTTTGAGGAACAGTAGCTTGTGTGTTTCTGTTGTTAACGTCTCGTGTGGGTTTTCCCCGCAGAAGCTACAGGACTTTCACAGTCTCAGCTGTCCAGGAATCACAGGAGACGAGCAGACGATGCTCCACAGCGAGAGTGACCAGCACCAGACCAAAGACCCATACCAGGCCAGCTATGGGAAGGAGCGTGAGTGTCTGTGGGCGGGGCTCTGCAGCCGGAGGGGGCGGGACTTGCTCCAGCTGGGAGGAGAACTGGACATCGAGCAGATCGAGAGGAACTGAAGAGATTCCTGTTGGATGATTATGGATGAGCGCTTCAGTGAGTGGATGCGGGACACGTCTAATCGACTCAGGGTGAAGCAGACGGAGAATGTCACGTCTTCAGAGCGTGAGCCGAGCTCCGCATGCATTTAGATTAGCAGGAGCCGACGTGAGAAACACTCGTGCTCTCACACACACACACACACTCACACTCACACACACTCTCACACACACACACACACACTCACTCACTCAAACACACACACACACGTGTTAAAGGGCTTCAGATGTGTAACAGTAGTAATATCAGGTAATTGAGTTCCTCACTGGTGAAAAAAGCTATTAGATCTTTTTTTGTCTTTTTATGTTGAATAACTACAGAAGTAAATGTACTTATTTCTCTATGAATAAATAGCATTTCCATGTGTTTGTAAGAGCGCCGTGCTTGACTGATCTTTACTCCGTCTGCCTCGTCTTTCACTGCAATAAACTAGAAATGACATTTTCCACTAGATGTGACATTATTTTCCTGACAGTGAAGCAAATGAGGAATAAATCTCATTACAGTAATGCTGTTGTGTGGACTGCGATTTATTCAAGCTCAGTTTAATGAAAAACAAAAGTCTGAACTGAAGTGTCAGCGATGATGATGATTTTAATTGCTGTACTACATTAATGCGCCTAATTATCATGAAAATAATGTCACAATAATAATGCAGTAAATGATTCTCAGTGCTGTCAGGCTACGCTTTTATGCACTGTTTAATTTCTGCTTTTTGATATTGGGGTGAAATATGATTCATATATTCATGAGATGCACTTTATGAAAATGCCAGGCCTTCACACACACACTCTGTCACACAGACACTCACACAAGCTCTCTCACACACACACACACACACACACACACACCCTCACTCTCTCACACACACACACACTCACTCGCTCTCTCACACACACACACACACACACTTTTGCACACATGCATGCACACACACACACACTTTCTCAGTTTTAGGAATATGAACCAGAACTTAGTAAAATCACACACACTGAGAGGGCAGCCATTTCCTGTTGAGATGAGAGCACTTCCTCTGAGAGTGTCTCACTGAGGTTCTGTAGGCTGGTATGATGTGACATCACAGCGTCCTCTTGAGTGACATTTATTGACAAGAGACGTAAACAGAAAAATACAGATCAAACACACAGGAAGTTCATTCCTCACACTATTTAACAAGCTCTTGCTCTTTTGATGTACAGTGTGTCTGACCAAACACTGTTGCTACAGATACCTGTTTGTCACATTGTGTGTGTGTGTGTGTGTGTGTGAACGCCCCTCTGGTCACTCCTCACTTCCTGTCCAGCAGGATGTGCATCCGTATGTTTGATCACAACATCATTCCTAGATTTCCATTTGTGTCGTCATAGTTTTCCTCACTTGGCTGCTATTGTTGCACTGTTACTGGAAAACAGTCCGAGTGAAGCAGAACAGTCCAGTGTTTTGTTGTTGTGTCCCAAATGACGCACTATACACTGCACTGTGAGCTTTATAAGCTTAATATATCACCTGATTGTTATTATTATTAATAATAACTTTAAGAGTTGCTTCCTCAAAGTGCTTTACAGCAAAAGCAGAAGAACAAAGCAAAAATAAACCAAACGAAACCAGAAATCATGTCAAAGCTAATGTTTTTGTGCACTTTTTCTTTTGGAGTTTTCACTACTCAGTATTTATTCCAAACACGTCATAGAATATAGTGTGTAAATACGTGAATTGGGACACACCTCATGTAGACGTGCTCTGAAGGACATGTTTTACCGTTGTGCTTGCGTCACGCATGAGCTCTGCATGTTAAAAACACGGCGCTCAAGTTAAAAGAAGTTCAACTTGCATCTCAAGACCTTGTTTTTACCCTTCCTTCCCTGCGTTCCCTGCGTTCCCTGTGTGAACGGCCCTAATAATACTAGACCGCCGTGTCAGAACGCTTGTTTTCTGGCAGGACATTTATTTATCAGCAAATTCATTCATGCAAAAATAATGTCTTTTATTGGCCACGGTGAGTGTAAGTTCACAAAGACACTTTATCTAAAGCCCTTATATATAATGCATTATAAAGTAGTTTTAATGCATTAATTATGCAGCTTATAATGCATTGTGAATAACTGTAATAACAGTTGTAATACTTTATCTAGTCATTGTTACACCTTTAGAGAGTATAATGCACTAAAACACATGACAAAATGTTATAATGCAAGGTTACATCTACAATGAATTATAATGTACATTATGAAAGCTTTATAATTCATTATACATAAGTGTTACTGAGTGCTTGCGTCTGGCTTTCACAGTGTTCTTCACGTCTCAGTGCAGCTTCATCTACAGAGCGTGATCGATCGCTAGAGTCGGGTCCTGGTCAGTGATCGGTCAGGATGGCGTTCACGGCGGCGGCGAGGTCGTCCACGTAAGCATCGGCTCTCACACTCGGGTGCTGCTCGTCGCTCGGCCTGCGGGGCACAAGACACCAGACAGAACATGAGCAGAGCTCCTGTGAGGTCAAAGGTCACCCAGAGTCTGACCAATCACAGGCTGAGTTGTCTCAGTTATTGATAATGTTCACTTTAACACAAACTCTAATTTTTGTCTGACAACAGCCCGTGCTCCACACAGTGCCACGATCAAGAAGCGGCTCTAATCACTGCAGCGCCACCTGCTGCTCACACACCCATCATGCATGAAATTAATTCAGATTGAATTTTATTGTGCCTTTCAATACACACTATTCCAAAGCAGCTGTAACACACTCACTCTCACACACACACACACACACACTCACTCACATATTTAAGCACACTCTCACTCACAAGCACACTCTCACTCACACACACACTTAAGCACACTCTCACTCACACACACACACACACACATTTAAGCACGCTCTCACTCACACACACACACACACTTAAGCACTCTCACTCACACACACAAGCACACTCACACACACAAGCACACTCTCACTCACACACACACACACATTTAAGCACTCTCACTCACACTCACACACACACACACACACAGACACACAAGCACACTCTCACTCACACACATATTTAAGTACACTCTCACACACACACGCACACTCTCACTCACATACACGCACACTCACTCACTCACACACACACACACACACACACACACACACACACACACACACTCACTCACACACACATTTAAGCACACACTCACACACACACACTTAAGCACACTCTCTCTCACACACACACATTTAAGCACTCTCTCACACACACACACACACACACACTTAAGCACACTCTCACACACTTAAGCACTCTCACACACACACATTTAAGCACCCTCTCTCACACACACACACATTTAAGCACACACACACACACACACACAAGCACACTCTCACACACACACACACACACACACACACATATTTAAGCACACTCTCACTCACACACACACACATTTAAGCACACTCTCACTCACACACACACACACATTTAAGCACACTCTCACACACACACATTTAAGCACTCTCTCACACACACACACACATTTAAGCACACTCTCACACACACATTTTTAAGCACACTCTTACTCACACACTCACACTGACCTGTATTTGCCAGTTCTGACCTGAAGACCCTTCATCCCGCAGCGCTGAGCTCCACCGACATCATTGAGCAGATCATCACCGATCATCACAACCTGACACACACACACACACACACACACACATGCAGTAAATAACAACAACACTGTAAAACATGGTAAACAGAGCTTACTATAGCCTTACTGGCATCTGAACACAGCTTCAAATCAACAGATACTCAAACTTGTGAGTGTGTGTGTATGAGCGTGTGTGTGTATAAATGTGTGTGTGTGTTTGGGTGTGAGTGTGTGTGTGAGTGTGTGTGTGTGTGTGTGTGTGAGTGTG